CCATTTTATTGTAGTCAACCATCCACTGTCTAATATATTGTTAGTCTTTTCTCACATGCATACTTTATGTCAACTTCAATTGCTCTCAAACCAACATCCTAATTATTATAGACAGGTTTGTGTGTGAGATTGGGATTATTCAATCTACATAAAAAATATACTATATAATTTTATATTTCATCAGTCGATTTCCTATAGTGGTGTCAGTTGGACCTTTGGTCAATACTTAGTGTCATAGAATTTTGAAAGGTGCAGATCACATAACTGCCCTTCATAAGCTGTCATTTGTCACATGTCATCTCTACATTTCCGTCAGACCGGGAGCCCATTCTGTCTCCGGCTTCTATACAATATGTAGCTTCTCCATATAAATTTTAAAGTGTTTGTTTGTCTTAGTGTATTGTATTTTGTATTGTTATGTCCAAATTTTACATTTATGACATTCTACTATGTCGGATAGGCCACAATTGACGAAGTAAGTCTATAAACATTTATCACATATAAAAATTTTTTTCAACCATAAACTTGGAGTTTTTTATCCAAGTGAATTAATTTTCCTTTTTATAAAAAACGTTTCTTGGCTTATTTCAGATGCCCCTGAAGATGATCTATTGATCGAAAGTACTTGGGCAAAATTAAATTAATCACCGTGTTCGATAGTTGCCTTGTATACCCTCAAAGTTATGAAAATTGTTTATAGGTACAGTAAAAAAAAACACCGTTTTAGTTAATAGTTAAGTCTATTTACATAGGACTATTAAGTATTAATGTAGTTAAATATATATACAGGATTGGACAGTTGTTAAAACCAAGAAATACATAAAAAGAACAACTGAAATAATTAAAACTGTAAAGTAAAAACATGTTTAATGAATAAGGAATTCATTTACTAAATGTTCAATTTAATGAAAAAGACAACTTCCGCTTGTGCTTCCTTGCAAAAAGTTTCAACACTTCATCTGGATCTAAACTGGAAGCTATTTCCTGGTGTATGTGCAAACTTGCCAGCCCATTAAGTCGTTCCTCCGTCATGGTAGACCTTAAGTAGGTTTTTAATCTGCGGAGAGTAGAGAACGATCGTTCAGCAGTACTACTGGTCACAGGTAGTGTGCAAATAAGCTGGAGCAACACTGTTATGTTGGGCAGATCGGATGAGTATTTCGTAGCTTCAGCAGGGTGTTTAGGGAAACTTTCTGAACTAGAATTCCACATGTATTTCCAAATACTCAACTCTCCTTTCAAAGCTTCATAGCATGGGAGGTCATTTTCATACAGTTTAGCCCCTTCTAAAACAGAGTCCTCATAGAGATCTGAAAATTTACCTAGTACTGGTAGAAGCATCTGGAGCTTTCCAATCTGGACCAATTGATTTTTTGGAAATCTATTTTTCATTTTTTTTTTGGGCAGATCGGATGAGTATTTCATAGCTTCAGCAGGGTGTTTAGGGAAACTTTCTGAACTAGAATTCCACATGTGTTTCCAAATACTCAACTCTCCTTTCAAAGCTTCATAGCATGGGAGGTCATTTTCATACAGTTTAGCCCCTTCTAAAACAGAGTCCTCATAGAGATCTGAAAATTTACCTAGTACTGGTAGAAGCATCTGGAGCTTTCCAATCTGGACCAATTGATTTTTTGGAAATCTATTTTTCATTTCACAGACGAGAAAATCCAAAAAAGGGGGATAAATAGACAATCGAAAGTAGTCTTCAACTGTGTCAGTTTGCACATTTGGTCTGTTTCTTTGAAGACCAACTAATCTTGGTTTTTTTAATTCAGTTCCCATTTTAGAGGCCAGGTTTTGCGCTTTTTCAAACAGTCTTTTGAAACACTCTTCATTGTTTGCCCTTTGCTCTTGCATGCTCTTGAGGGTAGCATCTATCAATGTCATTGCATTGAGTACATCCATATACTCAGCTTAAAGTTTCCTAGCCAGTGGTAGTGTAAGAGTCATAACATTTTCTAAAACCACTAAGCTCACAATGAATTCCGATGAAAGAATGCTGTGTAGCAAGGAAAACGCGTTATTTCCAGCCGCTTGGTCAGAATAAACCATAGTTTCTAAAGTAGCATGTAGTGAAGGCAGAGAACTCAAAAACGTCAACACAGCGTCATGACGTTCTAACCACCTTGTCTCACACATTTTTTTCACAGCGTGCTTTCCCTTTTTAATTTCCTCATTCCTTTCATCATCAAGTTCATGTAGTCTCTTGGCAGACTCTCTAAAAAAGTTGGCTACGGATGAAACCACTCCAACAGCATTTCTTATGGCAGGGATTGTACAAGCCTTGCTAATGACCAAGTTCAGTCTATGGCTGGCACAATGGCTGTACATGGCCAGCGGTTGAATTTTTCTAATTCTAGCCTGAGCTCCTTGAAACTTCCCACTCATATTTGAGCCCCCGTCATAAGCTTGTCCTCTGCAATCAGCTATGTTAATGCTCAGGCTGTCTAGAGCTTCTAGTATTTTCTGCGCGATGTTTTCTCCCGTCAAATCTACAACATCAATGAACATGATGAAATATTCTTTAATTTCCAGCGTCAACTTGTCTAAATAGCGTAAACAAATAGACAATTATTGTTCTGAAGCTATTTTCTTGTGGCATTGTGAATTAATTACTATTAAACTGGGAATAAGCCACAATTAAAGATAAAAATACGTTTATTGACGTTTCAATTTCCACTTCGGAAATCGTTCTCAAAATACAAACAGTAAATTAAACAAATTTTGTTTTTTGTTACATAGTGAAAAATTCTTCTAATAATTTAATTTTATCTGACTCATTTATATTGACAATTTAGACATACATTATGCATTTTAAAGTAGACGACTTTAAAATGATATTGATATTGTTGAGTTTCGCTCCTGGGACGACTTTACTTATAAGATAGTTCATTCGATTACATGAAATCAACTTTAACTTGAGAATATCCGTCAGAAAAAAATCATAGCATGTAATTCGTCTTTAAAAAGACAAACACATGACATGATGACAGTAAAATTCTCCTGTTAGTGATTCCATAGTAAATTATGAGGGAAAAACCAGGAAAAAAACCTCATAATACTATCCCGACATTGTAAGTATTTGTTCGTGAATTTAGTTTACCTTCAACAAACACCAAAATTCTGATTTTATATGTTACTTTATTTAAAAAACATAAATGATGTATCCTCAATATGTTACTGACTTACTAATACTGGTATTTTCTTATTAATAACTTCCTCTTTCAATATTGGTAACCAGATCCTACTACATTCTGCCGAGGAATTTGCTACACAATTGGCTTCATTTAGCATAATTAGAGCCGCTTCTTTGATTTTTCTTTTTTTACCATCCGGTTCTTTTAGGACTACATTTGAATTATTCCATTGAACCCTATGTTCATTATCCCATGCGTGTTTACAGATTTGAGATCTATCAAATTCTCTATTTTTAATATAGGATTGATGTTCACTTATTCTAACATTTAATGGCCTTGATGATTCACCTAAATAAAACTGATCGCATTCACAAGGTATTTTATAAATGCAATTCTTTGTCCTTTCTTGTTCATTGTTAGGTTTGGTTTTGGACAAAATAGATCTCAACGTGTTTGTTGTTTTGAATGTTGTTGAAATGTTGAATTTATTTAAATAAATCGATTGCTTCCGCGCAGTTGAAAGCCGGCCGAAACACGATTTAGGCTTTAACCTTGGACTTGTCAAGTCAGCTGGGGCAGGCAGCTCGCGGCTGACTCACGACTCACCCTAGAGCAGTGGTGGTGATTTATTGTAGCAAGAATTTACGTTAATAATGTATCTGTTTGGATATTATTAGCTACTTGCAGTAAGGTAGCTAAAATATTGTAAGTGTTATTTTATCGGTAAAAAAAACCTTATGAGGGCTTGGGGGGGGAGGGGGCACGTGCCCCCTGTGCCCCCCCTAGATCCGCCCATGCTTCGGAACTCCATTTTTCATTTGATCTCTGTATTTTTATATAAAAAAAAAACTACGATATGCAAAAGTAATATAAGGCTTTTATTAAAATACAATAAATACTCATTAGAGTAAAATCAAAAATATGTTAGTATGAAACTACTAAAAACAATATTGCTTGCTGTATATTGGCAGATACCTACATAAAATTCAAAATACAATTATACCTAAAAATAATTAACATAAGGTACATACGTACAACAATAAAATACATCATAGTTACTGACACGTTAAAAAATCTATTATTCGTCTTTAACAATCATTATTACTAGTAGAAGTTAAGGAAAAAATAGTTTACAGAAAATAAAACTTGGTATGAAGTAACATAAAATAATAACACCAACTTTCACTGAATATTTTCAAAAGTCTTTACGCTTAATCTTTTTAGCATTTCTCATACTTCCTTGTGTTTTTGTAAATTATTTTCTAATTTTTCTTAGTTTTTTATTATGTCTGTTAAGTATCTCTAACATGTAATTACAATAGCTATAAACGGGAAATGAATTTGCTACAATTAATTAATCACTAGAAAATACCGGGTAACTTTTCTTCATCTAAAGGTTATTTACCTACATCTGTTGTGATTTAGGATGCATAATTTCTTATATTGATTCTATTGACGTTGCTTATTTTTGAAACCAAATAGTGTTTACGAAATATTTTTGAAAAGAAAACGGCCTTGTTTTCTCTCCCTCTCTCTCTCTCTCTCTCTATTTCGTATACCTACTCTAATATGTAATTTTGCAATATTGAACGTAGGCTTCACTTCATTTATCCCTATCAACAGCTATTGGTGATCATGATAATTTTCTTAAGTTATTGTCAATAAAGTTTTTATTGGTAAAACTACCTTTGACACATTTTTAACATTTATTTTCTACAAACTTCACAGCTAATAACACTTCTACTCAAATATTAAGTTTTGTGATGTTATTTTTTTTAAATGTAAACTAAAACATTAAGAATATTATATACATAAATTTGGTGTATATTTCTAACTGTTTGATACATTTAAGTATACTTCAATTAATCATATTATTTATTAAAATACATATTTACTTTGTGCCTTGGTCGAAATCGTTATACAGAGTATATTAAAGGCACAGCGATATTAAGACACTATGAGTTACAAATGAAGAAGTGAAATCCAAACTAAGGTACTAATTTTAAATCTATTATGATAGAATATAAAAGCCTTACCAAACAACTTTGAATGCCTCCTTATAGATAGTAACACGAGCTGTTTATAATTAAGCTCTTTTGGAAAACACTAAATAATTTTCAATTTCTTATGATTATAGCGGATGATATAATTATATCCTTTAAAAATTTGACTAAAAAATTAAAAAGCTTTTGTGAAATATCAAAATAGTGCATTGGTTTTCACTTCCTCCAATATAACGGTGTATAAATTGTATAATAATAAATGTCTACAAAAAATATTTCAATGCACATGATTTCTCTATATTTTACATGTAAAAAGATTGTCTTAAACTCTCATACAACTCTATGTTATTACTAAGATTTGTAGGAGTATTGGACGAGACCATTTCACGATATATGTATAGTATAGTACAGATCAGAATATTGTCTTAAAATCTTATTTAATTTATTAAATAAAATAGATTTTAAAGCTTCGTTTTCTTAACAAAGGATGCATGTTATAAACCAAAAATGTGCATAAGTGTGCACAGTGTATACACTAAGTGCACCCGTGGAAGTATTCCTTGGTGAATGCTAAAATGGTTTTAGGTGGGATATGTCTTCTACAGACCAGATCTTCCTCACAAAATCAATCTCTTTATAAATCTGCTAAAGAAAGAATGAGTAAAGTGTCATAAATCATACGTGTTATATGTGTCATATGTTCAGATACAAGTGATTTTTTCGCAATTGTTTAAAAACAAAAGTATTTTTAATAAATTAAAGAAAATTACGGTTGTGTTGCTTATGATATGATCCCTGATCGTTCAAAGAACCGAAATATAAAGAAGCGTTTGCCTACTATCCCAAAAAATAATGACCTATCAATAAACAGAGATGGAATTTTAAGTAGAAATTTTAGAAAGACAAATCGGTACAGAATAAGTAGGTAATGATGGTATTTGGAACTAAAAACACTAACCTGTTACAATAGTGTGAGAAGAACGGACTCAGGACGCTGAAAGAACCAAAATACTAAATAGATAAAAAGAGGAAGAAGAAGCAGACACCTTGATTGTTTAAAAATAAAGTAGAACCTGAACATGAAACAAAGAAACCTACAAGATGGAGATTGGCAGGATAGACAGATAGTGGGAGAAGAACGAAGAGAAATAATACAGTGAAAGCTGCGGAAATCATTTTATTTGTAGTAGTATCCTCCGGTTTTCTAATATGTTAGCGCTTTCTAGTAAAAATCTATAAATGACTGTCACTAGGCAGCGACATCCTCTCATCTCTCATTGCAATACTCACTCATCAGCTGACCCCCTTCATACTATGGTGTTTAAAAAATTTCTGACTACATTGTGCCGCGAAACATGACCTAATAAACCATTTAAACTAAAGAAAGTCTGACAGCCCACTGAGCCATTGAGCCGACGACTCGATGGCTCAGCGGTATTTTTAGTAATGTAGAACATATACCTAGGTAACTGTAATTTTAACTAGCAATTTTTTGTAACTTCATAAACATACTGCGCTTAATTTACTAAAAAGCGTTTAAGTACTGACATCTGCAATCATAGGCCATTGTGCGAACACGTGAAATAATCCGTCATAACTTCCATACATTTTATTGTCTGCATTCTTTTACTTCTCTCTCCCCAATAGGTACTGTGGGTCTGAAATTCTTCTTTACATATCCATCACAGTTTGCATCACAACATATTTCGTCATTTTTGTTGTACTTCCTGATTTGCCTGAACGCATTCAACTAAAAACAAAATAAATATATAAGCAAAAGTTGACAAAGTTTGATGTAAAAAAAAATTTGGAACTTGTTTATTGCCTGAAAGCATGCATGGGCAATTTCATTTTTGTACAACGAGCAGCATTATACTACATAACAAAACAACGAAATTAATTTTACTATACCTAAATCAAATACACAAATATTTTATATTTCCAAAAAGATTAGCGCACACGGATATAAAAAAATAGCCAACTACAATTTTGCTATAAAAATTGATGCAATTAAAACTATTGAAACTATTTACTGACAATAAACGTGTAATGCAAGCATGTCAGTTCTTCTATTTACTGTTTCATTATCAAGAAAAGTAATTAAAGCATTATTATAGTAAATAATAAATGGACTGATTAATTACAGCAACAATAATTTGTTTTATATTTATTTTAGGGGACAATTCTAAAAACACCATGAAATATGGTAAAACGATTACAATGCCGACATCTATACTGCAAAGGAGTAACTAAACGTATACTAGCGCAAACAAAACTACGCTACAAATTCTTTTACTTGGTCTATGACCTAGAGATGGCGGTACGATTTGAAGTTTATTTTTTTTTATAAAAATGTTATATTGATCCTTTACGGTCAGTAAAATATTTTTAATTTATTTAAATTTTGTTTAAATAACATTAAGCATATTAAATTCAATTTTATAAATAATGGGGGTAGAAATATAGTTTATAAAACTTGTGGTAGTTAATATAGTTTGCCAACAGATGTCGACGTCATCGTTGGAACACAACGTCCATTTTCATTTTGTTTAATTTAGAATTGGAATTTGTAGGAGTATTATGATGTTTTTCTTTTCGTAGTACAGTATAGTAGGTATAATTTAATAGTTCTAGACTGTATTATTAAAACTGACTATTTTGCTGATAATACGACGGTTTTAACATTTATCGTTTTATTTTCGATAATAGTTATTATAATAGTTAAGTGATGATGTCGTGTATCCAAAAATTATTTATCATTAACAAATACTCCAATGCAATCTATGTACAAGTTAAGAAACCAGAACTGCTAATTCAACTATAATAAAAGGACAGCGTCAGCACGCTACACCTCGGCGTCACCGAGCTTACTTAATTTACTTTTGTATTGTATAGCGTCACTCTTATTTTGCATTTTACTGTAGTAAGTAGTCCCTTGTCAATAAAGTTATTTTTTAAAAATATTGTTCTTGGACTTAGAAACATCATTGGCGCAGTCAGTACAGATTTTCGGGAATTACGCTAAACGTTACAAAAATCGAACGGTTTCGCGTAGTTTTTCGTTTTAACGATTCACCGAAAAAACGAACTTTTTGTGAAAGTGTCCAAGATCAACTTTAGACAAGGTATCACCAAGACCTGGGAAAGAACAAAAATCGTCGAACCCTAGAGGCAGTAGATTTAAGCAGTAGTTTCAACGAGACCTGGGAGAAGAACAAAATCGTCGAATCCTATAGGCAGCAATGTTGAAAATCTACATTTTAATGTAAGTGTTTCCTATTTTTTCCATTTTATTTTCCATTTTATTATTTCCATATTTGAAAATACTTATAGTCAGAGAGCTAACGAGAGCAAACAATTTTTTTTAAATGTTTTATGATTTTGCAAGATATTTTTAATAAGAAAAAGATTATTATTATTATTATATTATATTAGTATATTTTTGACAATATCTTATTATATTGAAGTTGAACGTTCTATATTGAAACATATTTTATATTTTATTACAATTTGATATATTATCGGAATAAATATTTAATGAGCGAAAGTGATAGCAAATTAGATTTAAGTAGCCTTGTAGCAGAATTAAATTCAATTTTAGAAACAAATACTGATACAAATAACGAAATGGCTCAAACGAACTACCAATTATTAAAACTTTACTTAGATTCCATCCCAACATACGATGGTAATCCACATACCTTAACCATATTTATAGAAAATTGTGAAAATTTAATAACTAATTTTGCTAGTCAAACAGACGGCACCTTAAATACATTTTTACTTCGAGCTATATTAGGTAAATTAAATGGAAGAGCTCAAATGTTAATAGGTTCTAGGACAGAATTAAATACATGGCAACTCGTAAAAGATGCCCTTAATCTTAGTTTTGGAGACCAGAGAGATCTCGATTGCCTTATTCAAGACCTAATAACGTTGAGGCCTTTCAAAAATGAAACCCCTTATAATTTTGGCATGCGATGCCAAGAAACACGTAGTTTAGTAACACAAAAATTAAATACGCTTAATATTAATGCACAAGAGAAATTAATTAGAATAAACAGTTACGATGACTTATGTTTAAAGACTTACATTAGAGGCTTACCCTTATCGTTACAAACAAATATAAGATTAAGAAACCCAGACAGTTTAGAGAAAGCTATGAGCTTCGTTATCGAAGAAGAGAATTTTCTATATTCGTTACAACGCGGAAATAATTTAAACTCACAAAATTCTTTTAGACACTCATCGAGACATAATCCTACGAGAAACAATAATTCTAATCGAACTTTTATTCCTAGAAATAATTTACAACAAAATCGCCCTAATATGAGATTTCCACCTTACCAATATCAAAACATCAGACCGCAATACCTAAATAATAATTTTAATCCCAACAATACCTTTCAGCCACATCAAAATCAATTCCGAAATTTCAATAATTATAATTCTAACTTTAATCCAAGGAATTTCGACAATAATAATTCTAATTTCCGACCAAGGAACTTCCATAATAATAATCCTAATTTTCAACAAAGAAATGTTAATAACCAATCCCAAAATCAAAATCAATACCAGCCAGAACCGATGGATACAACTTCACGAAATACTTCTTTAAGATCTAGACCACATTTTACCTCCACGCAATTATTTAATCAACAAATTAATAACGATCAAATACAATTCGAAAACCCCTTTGAAAATAATATTCCCACTGATTACGTACACCCAACTCAAGGAGCTAATGAACTTCCTTACGAGAACATTTATGAAACTCAATCCAGTCCTTATCGCAATCCCAATGAAACAAAAGAAAGATCATATCACAATCCCACACAAAATGTTGAAAACAGAAATTTTTGCATGGCCCAAGAAAACTACAATCCGACATAATATATTTAAATACAACGATAGCAGATTTACCACATATTATTATTCCTGAACTCAATGCTAGATTTTTATTAGATACAGGGTCTTCCAAAAGTTTGATATCTCCACAGTTAGCGCATAAATTTTATAAAAATTTTATTTCTTACGAAAATTTTAATATACAGACGGCTCACGGAATTTCTATGCACAATGAAATAATTAATATTCCAGCTTTTAACATTTTTAAAGTAAATCAATATAATAAGTTTTATGTTTTTAAATTTAGCGAAAATTTTGATGGATTAATTGGTATAGATTTATTACAAAAATTAAAAGCTTCAATTAATGTTAACACGCGACAAATGAAAACGCCTTATGTAACGATACCCATAATTTTTGAACCCAGTAAAAAGGATATATTATATCCCAAGTCAATTTTAAATCATACAATAGTTATTCCCCCTAGAACTAAGCAAATAGTCAAAATACCGGTAAAATTAAATGTAGGATTAGGTATATTAGAATATAAGAATTTCGGTAAAGGAATCGAAATGCCTAAAGCAGTAGTTAATGTAAAAAATAATTTTGCTATGACCACTATTACAAATATAAGCGAATATAAGACATCGTTAACTATTACTGAACCCTTTGATATAGAACCATTAGATACTGTAAATATTAATTTTATAAGAAAGATGGAAACTGACGAAGAAACGTCTATTAATGATGATAACATGTTAAAGAGGAATTTAAAAAATATAAGGATAAATCATTGCAACAAAGAAGAAAAAGAATTACTAAAAAAGCTTTGTTTCCAATATAGAGATATTTTTTATTGCGAAGGAATACCTTTAAGTTTTACTAATAGTATTAAACATAAAATTAAACTCACTGATGATTCTGCAATATATACAAAATCATATCGTTTCCCGGAGTTCACCGAGAAGAGGTTAAATCCCAAATATATAAGATGTTAGCAGAAGGTATAATAGAAGATAGCAATTCCCCGTTTTCGAGTCCCATTTGGTGGTTCCGAAAAAAACAAGATGCTACAGGAAAAAGAAAATGGCGTCTAGTAATAGATTATAGAAAGTTAAATGAGAGAACCGTAGATGACAAATACCCGTTACCAAACATAACAGAAATTTTAGATAAATTAGGGAGAGCAAATTACTTTTCGACACTAGATCTTGCAAGTGGCTTCCACCAAATAGAAGTCGACCCACAAGATGTTGAAAAAACAGCTTTTAGTACACCACAAGGTCACTTTCAATTCAAAAGAATGCCTTTTGGTGTAAAAAATGCACCCTCGACTTTTCAGAGAGTTATTGATAATGTTTTAAGAGGATTAACAGACGAAACGTGTATAGTATATTTAGACGATATTTTAATTTATAGTACATCTTTACAAGAGCATCTTGAAAAATTAAAAATAGTTTTCGAAAGACTCAGAAAGAGTAACTTGAAAGTACAATTAGACAAGTCAGAATTTTTACAAAAAACAGTTATGTATTTAGGACATGTAATTACCCCTCAAGGCGTAAAACCAAACCCTGATAAAATCTCTGCCATAAAAAGATTTCCCATTACAAAAACTCAGACTGAAATAAAAAGCTTTTTAGGATTATTAGGTTACTACAGACGATTTATAAAAGATTTTGCAAAAATTACTAAACCGATGACCAAATGTTTGAAAAAAGGTTCTAAAGTAAATCACGATAAAGATTTTATTGACTGTTTCGAAACTTGTAAACAAATCTTAACAAACGACCCTATTTTACAATACCCAAATTTTTCCCAACCATTTATTTTAACGACAGACGCTAGTAATTTTGCAATTGGAGCTGTATTATCACAAGGAAATGTTCCAAATGATCGACC